AATTTAATGTTGTTAAACATTAAAATAATTTATATTACAAAAAGAATTGTTTATTCTTTTCTATTTTAAATGTTAATCGATTTCTAATCCATTGCATATTCTCATCCAACATGTCATAAACAATAAACAAAAAAAAAATCATTTTTTGGTAGGTCGTTATTTAGGGTGAATTCCCAATTTTTAACTTCATATCATCTTAATTAACTCTTTATTATTTTATACTGGATTAGATGAGTAAGCATTTAGCCATTGACTAGATCTCACACAAGTCTTACCATAAGTTTTTATCTATTTCCCCCCCCTTACTTATCAGCACGGAATGCACGACAACAACAGAGAAAAGGCCATTGGAAATCCAATTGAGAGGGGGGGGGGGGGGATCTGCTACCATAATGGGCATAAAAGACCATACAATCATTGATCCCACTTCTCTCAAACAATCAAGACCTCGTGGCTAAATATAAACTACCAAAAATCATGACAACTACATGCCAGTGAACAAGCATATGAACAGTAGGGTAGAAAAGGAGAGAAGTGAAGCACAACATTAAGCACTAGAACTAACCACACCCGTAGTTTATATCTGGCTTCGCAGCATTGCTGAAAATGGAACTTCAACTCTCTCTTTCACAACACATCGAACTTCCCCATCTTCTACCAGTGGGATTCTCCCTGGGGGGCATCTAGTTTTTGATCTTTCATCCTCACTTTCTGGTCGATGAAGCAGGCCCAAAATGTTGAGGTTCGTACCTAACTTCTTAGGTCCAAAACCAGACAAGCTCATGACGGATACCACGCCAACAACAGTGAGCACAGTTTTGGCTGCAGAAGTCACAAAAAATCCCAATCCTTTTCTTGCATTTTTCACGCCATCTTGGGCATGATTTTGCTCCTTCTCGTTCACACTCTTCCTCGATTGGACCTTCGGATCAATTGGAATTAACCCGTTGCAAACAGAATTATGCATCATGGTGTAGGGAGGACGGCTTGGATATGGAGGAAGAAGCAGATCATTGTTGTGCTCCACCGTTTCGCTAGCGAAGGTAGAAGCTTCTCGTATCACTTCCAGCTCCTTACCTTTGTACTCCTTGAGCTTATCAATTAACGTTTTGCGGCTTTGCTCAATCTCAGAAAGAGCAACTTCTCTTTCGTATTGCTGCTGGTGTTGCAGAACCTGGGTATTGCCAAAACAGTAAAGAGTTCTAAGTCATCAATTAAGAGTCCTAAAAACAAAGTATAAGAGAATAATAAGGATATTTCAATATGATCTTTCACGTCATACATCTAACGATAAAATAAACTGAGACTGAAATAAGATAAAGCTAAATCAGCATTCATTCAGTCACACGAACAAAGTCCGCATCTCTAGCAAAACACCAGTTATACTAATTCAAAACAACAGTTATAAATCCTTGTAAAGGCAAAGAGCATAAAGGGCAAGAGTGGAGCCACGTCAATCGTCAGTTTCAATAAGTTTCATTTGACAGGCGACGAATGAAACATTCATTTATAATAACATAACATGCTACGGGACTTTGGCCAGGAAAAAAAAAAAAAAGCTACGGGATCGTCCTGTGATTAAAAGTTAACGGACACACCAAATTTATCTTATGCTGTCAAAATAATCTTGACCGCAAACAAGCGGTTCTGTCATCCAATTTGGTATAGCTATGATGTGCATTATCCACAAGGACAAACTCTTTCTACCTGGTACAACTAGTTCGATTGTTTCTTCAAGTATATTAACACGTATATCCAGAGAGAAATTATGTGAAACTCTGGATGTAACTTTCATTACCATGAAAGGCTCGAATTGGGAATTGCAGGGTCAGCTGCTCCACTGTCATCAAGTCAACAGAATTATCGTGGAGATGGTCTCTTTTTAGATTGACAATACCATGACACAGGATGATTTTTCCACGGAATCAAACGTTTGGCAATGCATAGCACCCCCCTCCCCTCTAATTGATGGTACCACGAGCATAAGATGGGATTTTATTTCTGGAACTCTTGTAACATTGAGTAATCGGCAATACTGTGATTTGCATGTTGTGAAGCACTTTAATTTAATTTGTTCTTTTAAGTTAGAGCCTGAACTACAGGCGAAAATAGCTTATCTTTGTCAAAATATGAATGCCGGTGGTACTTAATATTCTAGAACCATGGAAGTATACAAAGTATTTAAGCAGAATGGGTAGTTTATCTTGAATGGGGTTACCAAGGTACATATAAGAAGTTTGGTCCCCAAGGAAGAGTACTTCAGAAATTTAGCTTTCAAGGGTAGCAGATTGCTTCAAGGGCTTTTTAAGCAAAGGAAAAGCTTCACTAGAGTTCAAGAGGGACATATATCCCACTATCTCTGGCCCTTATCCAGGGAACATCACAGGCTATAATCCTAACAATAAGACAGATCCCAAGACAAATGTTCCGAGCTTTTCTTCTAGATGAACTTTTTTCACCCGTGCCTCTAGAGAGATGGAAAGAATTATTTCAGTTTATCCAACCGAGAAAAGAAACAAAATGCACAGGAAATTTGATCATGCAATGTCATACGATTAAAAAGAAAAATATCTCACAATGAAAAACCCTAAAAAAGAAAGGGGCTTTGGGGAAAACCTGCAAGGAAGATAACTGGTTCTCCAAGGATTCCAGCGCATCGCAAATGTTTAACAGCCTTTCTGCTTCTTCATCATTATCATCATCTTCGGGGTCATTTACTTCGTTCCCATCAGGAGGTTCAGTCGTTAAGGGGCCATTGGTAGGCGAGTACGCAGCAGGCGAGGCTCTGTGGATGCAATTGCTGATCTTCAATCTAAGTTCTGTAGCTCTGGCCAACACTAACCCTATTCCCTCGTCTTCCATTTAGGGTTCGTGAAATTTGACCTAAAAATCACTCACTGTTTCATCTTAATTCCCAGTTAACCGCCAAAAGACATCTCTCCTCACTGTATTGAGCGAATTCTAGTGATTCTAGTGATCCCCCAGCAGATAGAAAAGAAATTATGAGCTGCGGATTCTTTGTCTCTTTGCTTCGCTTTCTTTGTCATCGCTTTCAACGAAGAAAAAACACAATCTCCGTTCTTTTGTTTTTTTCCACCCATGAAAAGGGCCAAAAAAAAAAAAGAAAAAAGGGCCATCAATTTCATCCTTTCCCCCTTTTCTTTCTAACTTTTTTTTTTTTGGTAAAAAAATTTTGGAAAGGGGTTGGGCTCATCCACGATCCAAGGGCAGGGCGAAATCTCCCTTCCTCCTAGGTCATACCAATTTGGGCAGGGCGAGCCGTCATTACCCTTAGGCGTTTATCTAGGCACCTAAGAGCTAGGATGCCTCCCCAAGCGCCGTGACTGGAACCACAACAAAGTGGTACTCCCCAAGGATCGAACACATGCCAACTTGGTCATGTCTTACCCCTTCGCCAGCTGAACCCACGGACGATGGGTCTTCTTTCTAACTTTATCACAAAAAGAATATATTAATCCAGCGGGAGTACAGATTTGTGGCCCGTAAGCATTATAAATATACTCTATATTTAAGAGAGAGAATAATAGGAGAGGATAAAAATATGCATAAATTTGTTTTGTCTCTTCTCCTATCCATATCTACATATACAAGATGCATTTACTAATTAAATGTCCAGAATTCAAATCTGTTTGAGCTTGTGGATTTATCAATTTTATTTATCAAATATCAGTTTATTGCCGCTGCATAAATATACTCCTTTCTGTCCAAGGTATATAAGAGTTAATTTGACATTCAATTTGGTCCTAGATATAAGATCTTCATTCATTTTGTTTCTTATATTTACCCATTTCTTTCAAAGCATTCTTTATAGTAATTGCACATGTTAAATGTTCTGTCAGAAGATAGTTTTAACTAATACATATGATTAGTAATGATATTTCAGAAAACATAATACATATTTATTATAAATAACTAAATTAACAAATTTTCTCAATTTTTTCCAATTAATCAACTAGCTCTTTTATTTAGCCGCTGTTTTCTTCTCTTGCATTGCATGAGATAAGATATTCATCTTTGATTTTAGGGGCGTCATTGTCTAAATATATCACTTTAGCCTCTCACATATTGTTTGAAACAGAGAATAAATAATATTGAGGGTGAAATAGATTGAAGAAAACTATATAAATGTATACACACACAATACAGACACACATATTGCACTCCTGATTTTCAAATATCAGAATGCTATGTGTTGAAGTTTGTCCTTTTTTCTTTTAATAAATGATTCCATGAAAAAGATGCTAACTTCCTGTCACAATATTAAAAATTCACCTGACAAAGTAATTACAGAGACTCGCAAAATTTACCTAGAGAGAACCTTCACTATGATATACAATAATGAACTGATCACCGTTGGAGGGCGTGGCCTCTAGTATAAACATCACTTCAATTGACTACTCAATTCTCTGGTCTCTACAGCACTAAGCATCAGCGCAAACTTGTCAATAAGGTTCTTAAATAGACTAGGAATGACAATTGAATCATAACCATTGCTTGATAAATCATAACCATGCCAATCAAGCAAGACTAATGATTTACAAGCTTCATTGTTCATATGAACACAAAACATTTAGGATATGTTTTGGGTTGAAGGGGAAGGGAGGAGAAGGACAGGAAAGCAAGGGATAATTATTTTCCTAATTCTTGCTTAGGAAATAGGAAGATTCTCTCTTCCAAAATTTTCAGATTGGAAGAAATAGGGAGGATTTTAGGAGATTTTTAAAGGATAGGGAAAATTCTTCATCATCCTAACTCAATAAGAGCTATGCTTGAATTAAGCTTTCCCTTTCCCTTTTCTCTTATCTCCAGCCAAACATATCAACATAGAAGCTTGCCTTCTGGGCTGCCACTTCCAGGTTGAACAATTTCACTTCAGTCATGCTAGGAGGCTCAAGTGTTAAATATCATTCCAATCTTGGTTCATTTCGACATCAAGTCTTCTGCCTCGTCCAAGAAGGAGCTTGTGATTTTTTTCCTTCTCATGATTATCCTGAATTAAGATTCTTCTGTCATTCCAAGCTATGATGCTAATATCTACTGAGGCATGTGATTACCAAGCTAACTCCTTCGAAATCAAGTAATTGAAACTGAAGTCATGAGGGACCAACTCAATGCCTTTCCAGCTTGCTTTTGATTGAAACTCTTGATTGATTTTCCTTTGAGAATTAGGAAGGTTATTCTTGACCACCTCCATCAAACCAACTGCCCCAAGACGTGAGCTTTTTGCAAAGAAATCAACTATCTTTGGAATAAGTATTTTCTGTTCCTTGGTCACAGAGATGGTAGATTGAATGTACTCGTCTTTCGCAGATTCAAGCTCCTCCGAGACTCTCTTGGATGTATACAAACGCACCTGACAATGTTGCAACCAGCAGAGGTTAAGAAGGACGCTACTTCTCAAGCAAGAATAACTTAGCTTATATTCAGACTATGAAAATGCGCCATTCAAGTGATCAAGAGCTGCAGAAAGATTACTTCTGTCTCCTTGAGTTTACACCAAGAGACAGAACAAATATAAGTAGGCAAAAGCATACCGCAGGATCAGAACGGCTTCCTGAACTGAGGGCAAATAGCAACAAAGGTTCTGGTCGGTGTATTGCATATGCTTTTCTTGCATCTCTAACCTTAAGTTTTGTTTTTGTAGGAAACAAAATCTGCAGCCACTGGGAGAAAAGAATGGGGCATTAGTGTCATTTAATGTTCGTAAGAAGCCTTTGAACTTCTTTGAAGTGCAGAGTTTTGAGAAAAAGTTGACATAAAGAATAAAAGCATATATTAGAAAATTTCCCCTCCTTTCTTCTCTTTTTGAACTCTGCAAGAACTTCAGAATAAATAAATCTAAAGGGTTCAGACTCCATCTGCTACTTTGCTTGTAATGTAAAATAGTAATGAGAAAAAGTTTATGTGGAAGTTTCAGGTTTTCAGAGTTACTTGTCCCGGACGAGGCAATCTGCATCCCAGAATCGAGTTCTGTATGAGTTCTACGCTTACATTATGACCCCCAATGTTATATGCAGCCTGAAGACCATTATCAACCAGCTTAATTCAGAAGGACTTCAGATCATACCAATGGATTTTGTCAGTTCAATATTAGGGACCAACTCACCTTGAGTACTGTAGAAATTCTTTTGGCATTATTGGCTGAAATTCCATAAACTAATAAAGCCTGTAGATGAGAGACAACAATATGGTAGGTTTGTCTTCAAGACTTGGAAAAAAACTATAAATCAAATAACGTTGAAAGTTCGAAAAGTTTACATGCATCACTAGGGTGTTGTGCACATTGATCCAAAAAGCTAGCTTTTCTTCATGCTCCAAGTTTCTAGGATTAACATCTTCCAACCGAGAAACAAGTGACCTGCAAGAAAGCAAGACATAAAGGGAAATTTTCTTAGCATATTGACATAGTTGTAAAGGTGCGAATGATATGCTAATATTGAAAGGCAACTGTTTATTTTAAAGGAGAAAAGTAAAGCCGCGTTACTTAATGCTGCATTCGGTTCTCCAGCTTAAACCCTTACCTTGACAAAATCCTTGAAAGATTTATAACTCTAAGCTAAGCATATCTTAGTCTCTTGAGAGTGGGTAAAGAACATCAAAATTAGATCCTAATCCTCTTATCAACAATGGCTCGTGATCAATCCTCAATCCTACATACATCTTAATACTTTATGGCATTGTTGATGTTTTCAAATTTCATACTAAATCTAATATGTAGTTGCCTTGTTCAGCGAATGAATCTCTTAGGATGAAGACTTACGGAACTTAAATTGCAAAGATGGCTCACCTAAATCTCCGCAGCATGTACTCAACTTCTTTTAATTTTTCACTATCTCTGCTTAACTTGTGAATCTTTACCATTGAGCAATAAGGTCCGCCAAATTCTTTTGATCCTTTGATGTGGAAAGGGTTGTTAAAGTTTAAATTGAAGGGTCGATGTTTCTTCCACCGTGAGGCCTGCTTATTTCCCTCGCCTTGTGAAGAAAACTCATATGCTGATGATGAAAATGGAATAAAGGACGAAGCATTATCATGACCAACAAAAGGAGGGTCTGCAAGTTCACAATATATAGCTGATATGCTCTTAATCATCTCCTCAGAAAGCCAGTTTGGGGTCTCTGGAACTATATCAGAAAAGCAATTTCCCAGATGCTCAGCCAGGGAGATTGAACTGCAGTTATTACTCTGAGCTTGCTGATAAAATATAATTTCCATAGAACACCAAATTAGAAAACACTAAATTCAAGAAGTAAGGTAGATTAGTGGTAGCGGAAAGATACCACCACCATGGATTTCATATAAATCTTAATAGTTTAAGAAACAAGTGTCATATAACTACTTATCTAGTCTGAAAATTAAATATGTTGACAAAATTTAAAACTTGAATGCTGGGCTTCATGATGATGACATGGAGTAAATGCAATTTCATTCGGAAAATATAAAAGACAAGTCATCGAGTCAACTGCAAACATTCCAATTGGGCAAATTTTGGGCTATTTAGGCAACTTTGTTAATGTCAGTACAATTAACTGATACAATACCAATATTTACTTGATGTGCTCTTGAAGACATCCACGCTAATATGATCGTGATTAACCTTTAAGGAGCAAAATCGTGGCAATGGTATGTTTGAGGGACCAATAACTCAATATGACATATGAGGAAGTAAGAATTACTCCCGTCAGTTGTTCGAACTTACCTCTAGCATAGACAACGGTAGAGAATGGAAAGTGTCCAAAGCTTTGGCCTGAGAAGTTTCGATGAAGCAAACTGATTGCTGGGATAGGGTGGAGTGACTTCGATGAATACTTGAGTCCAGAACAGCTTCTGGTTCTAACTCTTTCTTGCATTCCTTAAGGGGAAAGCCAACTGAATTTCTGGGCGACAGGAGATTATGTTCACGAACTGAAATCTCTTTCTCAGAGACAGTAACTGTCCCACTTACTGATGAACTTCCTTTTTTGGTGTCTGAATCTGTTTCCAATCTTCTTTCCTTGGCTGATAGAGACAATATTTGATGATCAAATCTTTTCCGATACAGCGAGAGAAGATATTGTTCCAAGTACACTACTTCTAATTCTAATACGCCAATTTCCTTAATTAGTTCCTTGGTCGCCTAAAATTGAGAAACAAAATACACACAATCAAAAGAAAAATCCAGCAAAGTCAATAAGCCATTCAGAGCATCCATTTAGGTGTTCAAGGGTATACCATTGGCATCGAGTTTTCTAGCGCAGCATCTTGTGAGGAAGGCAGGTAACATGCTTTCTCTAATGCACTTCGTACCACAAATTGTTGATGCAATCGTTTTTGAAGCATGAAAATCTTCGAAGACATGAAAAACACAGTATTTAAGAACAATAAGCCAGATGTTTGTGGATAAATGGACTAATCAGCTGCTAGTTTTTCACAGTTTCAAACAGAGTTTCCATCAAGAGATAGAAAAGGATGTATAAAAATCTTTTAAAGATCCCTAATTCCCTATTATTTTGCCTTGCAAAGCATATACTTGTGGCAGGAAGAAATTTGGCGGCAAGAACACGGGCTGTTAACAAAACTTTGATTACTTAACGGTCTATAGTGAAGAGAATAGAGAGACAGAAAATTAACTCTAAACCATCATAAACTATGTATTTATGAGCTTATCAGTAGCTATCTCTTATAGAGGAACTAAATCAGTTGAGAATATAAGTACCTCTTGAGTCAAGGAACTCTGAAGATCAATGTTATGGTATTGCCTCTTCTTGGATTCATTGCTTTCCACAAGCTGGTCCATTTCATTTTTTTAATGGAGAAAATTAATAAATTACCATATTAAAACAGGCAAAATCTAGGTAGGCAAAATAAGAGGAAAATATTTATTTGCAGTGCTCACAAATCTACAGCGATTAGAGATATACCATGCTTGTGTGAAAAGAACTTTCAGTACCGTTATCCCATAATCCATCTTCCCTGACTCTTCTTTCCATAGGATCACTGCCATTCACAGTGATAAAATCTCAGGCTTACTGAGGTACAATGGAGCCTATGAATATGCAGTAAACAGAGAAAAGCTCTCTCACAGGATAATTATTTGTTGAATGTAAACGATGAGGCAAGTATGGAAAATTTAACCCTCTAGTTCAAATCAAACTGATGAGCATAGCACCCTTCAGCAATGTGTTTATTTGCACAGAACCACCGTGCATCGTGTTCGTAAGAATTTCTTCTATCTTCAGTTCATTTAGTTTAAGAAGACCACAACTTTGAAAGAAGAGATGAAAATGAAACTCTTGAACTAAAGATAGAACAGAGAATTTTCAGAGCGAAAACCTTTTAGAGCGCTTGTGACTTGAAGGTAAAACTGTCGAGTCCATGAGCTTGAATTGCTTGTATCCAGAATCGCGCCACTTTATTTCATGCATATGTTATTGTGTCAGGATTCGCTTTCAAATCTTCAACGCTGTCAAAGGATGCACCAAAAAATCATTAAATGCATCAAATACCACCATCAGATACTGACAAAAACGGAAGATACATCCAAAATGCATTAATTCATAGCATTACTCTGCATATTCGCTGCAGAAACTAAACTATCATAGAATGAGACTTCTCACAGAGACAAAGTTTTTTAAAAGCTGGACCAAAATTGGGGCATGAAAAAAAACCAAATGGGTTGCAAGTTATATCTATTTCAAACCCATATACACCCCCTCTGTCCCCTTTTTGAACTCATCAGGCAAATGCTGCAATCAAACCAGAACTGTACGAAGAGAACAACATATGGTGCTCATAAGATTTATTTTTGCAAAGTTGGATCTTTTTCATTGCATCAAAAGAAGAAATTGAGGTCATAGCTTTTGAAGAATAAGATATTTCAAAGTAGCACTTGGGGATAATCAAAGGAAAGGACAAGAAACAGGAAGGCAAACTGAGATATGTACAAACAAGAGTATGCTACACTGTCATCAACAATAATGCAAACAGTCAAACACTTAACGTGCATGTATAAAGGCACACCAACTTTGGAGCTTTTTTGCTGGTGAGCTTTTTGCATTTGCGTAAAAAGAAGTAAATTAGTCTTGCATGAGCTTTAATAATAGTATGTTAAAAGAAGAGATCTTCACCGTTTAGAATGAAAGGGAGTGACAAGGTGGGTTGGCAGTTCCTTCCACTCGTGCACTTCATTTCCTCTCTGTTCCGTCATTCAAGAAAGCATGAGAATAACATTTTTACCTTTTACATAGGCTAACTATGTACTTCTAAGTCTTGAAAAGTTTAGTCTTTTGAAATGGGTTTTTTCCTTTTCCCTGACTTGACTCAACCATGGACATTTTATTTTCTTCTCACCTTCACCCACCAAAAATGGCTTTAGCCAAACAAGTTTTGCCCCTAGCTTAATGTGATTGAATTGGACTCAATATTTCAGGGAAGATGCCATAAGTTTTCAAGTTTTGCTTGAAACTAATTTTTCCTGCTTGAGGATCCGAAAGTCATGCTCCTTCGTATATATTTTTTTGTCCTATACCAGATAACTACTGACACTTAATGATAATATTAAACCCTGAAATTCTCCAACCCTGCTAACGTCTTGAAATTGACGCTGCTCTTTGATCAACTTGCATAAATTAATATTTCATGTTTCACAGTAATAACTATTGCGCCTCTTTTATTTTTTATAGAAGTATAGGTAAATTGGATTTTGATTTGTGCACTGACCAAAGTAAGAGCAAGTCTCATGGTTTGAGAAACAATTATAAGAGGTGGCTACAAATTATCTATCAATAATTTTCTCGGATTAACAGTGAAATTTAAAGCTATATCTTTATAGGATATAAGTTCATCCTTAATAACTAGATTAAATTTTGTTGGTATATTGGGTCTTTGTTAGCATCTCACATTCACTTCCTGCGAGAGATTACTTTAACTTTTAAAGATTAAAGATGTCAGCAAAAGTCAATTGAAGATTCTAAAAATGAAAACTTTCTCAAAAATCATGTAAATAAATTATGGTTGATACCTTTGAAAGTTATAAAGATGCTTTCAGGCTACGTCTTGATCTTTTTAATGCTATAAAGTTGTTTTAAATTCGTTATTAACTTTGAAAAATATGAATAAGAACTTTACTTGATGACAAATTTTAAATTTCAAAAGTTTTGATTATCATTAATAGCATAAATTGTAGACTTGTGATTAGATCATTTGGGTGAATGAACTTGGACTCCAAATATTCCAAATGTTGAGACAACACAAACCAACTTCATCTACTGATTAGACTGCAAAAACTGTTTTGAGAGCAATTTGTAAGCAACAACTCTAAAACAACTGAATATTCAATCTTGATTTTGGTGAAATTTGGTGGGAAGAATGGGGCCCTAACAAGAGAATGAATTGGTGGTGAAAGGAAAAGAGGAAGGCGCACTTGAACAAAAAAGCAAACCTCAAAAGGGCTGAAAGTTGATTGTCAAACGAAGAACCAATCCACATTTTGCTGATATGAAATGACTGCTTTTGGTAGGCTGTCCTTTTTTCTGTCTAATTCCATTCTCTCTCTCTCTGTCTCTCTCTGAAACTTGGATACAACTAGTTCTGCATAAGTCAATTACTTTGCTGAGAGAAAAAGTGGCTTGCCTTTTCTTATTGGATAAGCTGCTCCACATACACAAATCACACGCATATATAATAGCATTCATCCATCAAAGCGGTGGAGTTAAATGAAAGAGAGCTAATTATAGGGGGGGAAATTAAGAGTTCAATTTGGTCAAAAGTAAACTTTTGGTGTCTAATTATAGATTAAATTATTTGTAATATTTTGGATAATTTAGATGGTATTTAAATCTTTGTGATTTGATTAATTAGTTAAAAGAAAAGCAATTCATACTGAATTTGAGAATAATGCAATGTCATCAATATAATTAGGTCAATTAGAAATAACTTGACACCTCTAAAAGTGAGCTTGCATCAGCGTTTTCCTTTCTTCAAATGCATGTTCACTCAAAAGCTTCTGCTATTTGCATGCACTGGAATGATGCAAATGCCCAAATAAACTTGCTTCAAATCTTAATTCCAGTCTTATGAGAAGGAAAAAAAAATCACAAAGAAAATATTCTACTTAGGGTTTGTAGTTCAAATCAGAATTGAAAGGATGGTCAGTGGAAAAATGAAACTGTAACTTACAACTAAATATGACATTATGATCTCATCTCTATGTCATTATCATATATATCAATTCTTTTTTTCTTTTAATGTACTATCATCTCTATCCTTCTGAACAGCAAAGCTTTTTTCATGGCTTACCAATTTATTTATTCAGTTTGATTCTTATCTCCTACCACAGTTATTATTGTGGTTACACTTTTTCTCGGTGACCATTATTGCTTAGCCTCCATATTTCAACTGCTTGCAATAGAAGTTAAAACCAAAAACGCTTCTGATAACTTCTCAACAAACAATATTGTAATATCCCATGAAATGTTGTCTTCTTCTAGATAGTTTGGTAAGGGGTTAGAGTCAACTTTGAAAACCAAGCACTTGTGATCTCAATTTCTCATTGAGAAACCACAAAAAGATGCTTCAGATTCTCTGACCAAGTCATAAATATTGATACACCGGAAGAAACTGACAGACATACTTGTGGGTTAATTGATGAAAACCAGACCATGAAACCCTTTCTGTGTTTTCCATGAAACCAGAGCCAACAGAGATTCTGCAGACTCCAAAACCTCTGAATTAGTGCAAAGCATAACTAATACTACTACAAGGAGCTGAGCTTACTTAGCTTAGACCGTGTATTATAAAAAATTATGGGAAGGCCTAAGAGGTAACAACAAATAAGACATGTCAGGAAAACTTTTCGAAGAAAACATAAAACAGAAGTGTCTTGAAGTTTGGTACAGTCACAGAAATCAACAGACAAGGTGATCGAAGAAATCGTATTTGTGATGTTTTTTAAGAGCGTCATTAATGGAACCTTCCTTTATAATTACAAGTAAGCAATGCATATTGGGGTTAGTAACATTTTATAAGGTTGTCAGAAAGAAGTTCGTTCAAGAAGGAAAAACCGAATCTTTACATTGAGATTAGTGAGGCATGGAAAACGCAGTGTGAAAGGGTAGTCAATGGCAATGATAAGAACCTAGAACAGCATCTTCTGCTATCTGAGAGTTTTTAAAATTGGACAATATAGGCATAGTTTTTTTAATAAATAAACACGAGTTATTTTGCCCAGGGCAAGACTTCAAATAAAAAAATTTGTTTTTTTTCCACTGTAAGAAATTGCAATTTGCTAAGAACTAGCAGCTTCTTATCTAGATTAAGCTGTGTGGAATACATCATTGGATACTGCTGTGCTTCATCTCGTTATAGATTTTGTTGCAATACTCCAGGTTGTTTTATTAAGAAAAACATTGAAAATTTTCAGTTCACTCCAAGTATTGCAAAAATTTGGGAAATTTATTATCAATTTCTTAAAAATTGCACATAGAATTAGTTAAAACTGTAGTCTGTAGCTTTTATAAAACTTAATTATATGTTAGTAAAAAAAAAGGATTATGGTTAATTTAAAAATTTTGATGATAAAGTTTTGTCTTTGAAATAATTATAAATTTCAAGACTTTTTTTGTAGTAATTTCTGTTGAAATTAAGAACTAACTTTTTTTCAATTTCCCATGCATACTAAATTACATTTCATATTTACACTTCAAAGTGGATCTTATATTTAGAATGAGGTAATAATTTTTTTGTCCAATTTCTTATGCACGTTAAATTACGTTTCAACCTTGAAAAAAGACCAGGTATAGGCGGTGATTTACAAGGGACCACGTTGGAGCGTAAAATCACTTTAATAATTAGGGTTGTCAATAATGTGGAACAATGATTCTGCTCCCTCAAACACACAAGCGTACAATGATCCTTCAATTTTATAATGCTTGTTTTTCCGATGTTATTGATTTTCCTTTAACCACTTTCAATGCTGCTATTCATTTTCCCTTTCATCATTTTCATTGGGAATGTGTAGCTTCATATTTTGCCTTTGTTTGGCCCAAACAAGAAAATTGTCCAAGACTATTATGCCACTCTTAACCCTGTATATAATCGGCATGAGGGAATTCAATTTTAAGATTAAAGAAATTGAATTACAAACTTTTAATTAAGAAAAGATGTACAATAAAAAAAAGTAAGGAAAATTAATTTAAAACTCTTAACCACATTTTTTCTATTTTTTAAATCAAGCCGATTAAAATTTTTCATCCCCTCTGAATCTGATTTCATCCTACCAAACACACCCTAAAACAATCTTATCAGATTCCAACGCCAACAGATCCCCTCAGCACCATACTCCAGATTATCCAGACTTTTGATTGTCTCACTTTAATTTTTCTTTCTGTTTTTTTTTTTCAATGCATAGTCTGCTTCAGATCTCATGATAATTACCCTTGCGAAGTTAATATTTCCTCAGTACATGCATTATATATATAGTTAAATAATGGATGAGCCACATTTTAAGCTTCTATTTCTGTGTTGATGACAAGAGATACGAAAGTCACATTATTTCAAATGACGGAGCAACCCTGATACAAAATGGAACGAATAAATTTAAGGTTCAGCATGCTCCAGTCAATATTAAAATTATGCATTTTTTGCCCTCAAATATTCTTGGGGGAAAAAAAACTGTACATCACCCCTTTTGGATTAATAAGGATGCCGGGTGCCTCCTTTTTTTGGGGCGAGACAGAACCCCCCCCCCCCCAAAAAAAAAAAAAAAGAAAACTTTACTACATGACCCCCTGAATCGGCTATACACTGATATACGACTCTTCATCCTCTTCTATCTTATGCGGACGAAATGAGGAAAACTTAAGTATGAACAAAGAAATATGGTTTCAGCAAGTTATACAGCTTAGGTCATTGTCGCATATGACTCGTTATAAATCAGGCACAATCAGCACATGGTAAGCAAAAGACAGACAGACATTAACAAAGCCAAGGCGTCTCATGATAAATAGATCGATCTGCATGCTTTATGCAGAATGAGACCAATAAACTCCAATCAAGTCCATAAAAGTTCATGTTAGGGCCAACAGTGCAGTTGCACACATCCGTAGCTCACCGATTTGACGTTAGGGATAGGCAAGCTGCTTGGTGAGAACCAAACTCTTCTCAAATCATATGTAAGTCCTAATGTCATCATTATTGAGAAGTTCATGACTCTATAGAATCAGTTAAAGGAGAAGCTTCCCTCTCCAACTTGCATCAGCATCAACTGCGTCCAAATGTTAAAACAGAAGTTAATGGAAAATAAAAACTCACACCTCCGTACATGACTCGTGTAATCCCATTGCTTTGCATATGCCCATCAGGCAAGGTACAGAGTACAGACAGTGGAAGAGAACATGAGAATGCATTGCACTCGACATGGTTCGGTCAATGAATCAATTGTTGCTTTTCAAGACAAGGAAGAGCCAGGCAACTATCTGAGGTCATTAAATTCAAAAGTTCAACAATTCAAAGCAATACCAGAGCAACCCGCCGAAAGAAAAGGGTTAAAAAAACTAACGGATTCACAAGAAAATGGAACCATATAAAATGAATGAAAGGAAAACCAGCGGAGTGAGCTGCTTTAACGAGAACCCGGGAGGTTGTACTCAAAAGGGGACGAGTCAGTCACAAGTAGAAGGTTTACGTTTCTTTTAGCCATGTGTCCAAAAGGTCATATATACAACGCTAAGATTTGGCACCAATATAAGAGATAGGAATAAATAATTTTGAATTTTTTTCTCAATATATCTCAACAAAGAAATACCCAAAAGTAAGATATAAAGCAGGGTAAGCTAGTTGCAGGATATTCAAAATGATTGATTCCATCAAAGACAAGCAATTTGTTAGACCTGTACACTTGTATTTATATAAGGTCTCCTTCAGAGTCAATTTCTGTCTACAACCTCCGCTGGCAAGTTTAGATCAAAAAGGACACCACCAGCACCTTCTTTCCTAGCACGCTTGTGAGAAGGACATCCGCTATCATCTGAACTCCCAGACCCAGAGGGCCGATCAAGTTCTGCTGTTCCACCTATGCTTGCAAAAACACAATAATCATTTTCAGTAACATTTCGGATGAGGAAGCACAAAGCCAAATTGAAGAAAACTTAATATGACTGATACAAATGCAATATTTTTCTCTCAAATTGATTACTCAAACTGGTCAAAAAAGGGTGAAGGGCAAAGTCCTTCACCATTTACAAGTCAAACAAAAACCCACGTTAAACATTTACCAGCATTATTGGCTTTATAGTTCCAACAAGTTGAAAGTTCTGATGCCCTCTCTATGCCCTTGGACTTGTACGGAGCAATACTGTGAGTGCCCAACTGAAGAGAACCCAATAAATCATTCTCAATGCACTCATACCTGCATAAATGATTAGAAATTCCAAATCATGAGAGCTAAAAAGGGGGGGGAAAGAAAAAGAAAAAGGAAGATGCATGAAGAGATTCTTCAAATAATAGCTCACATTTTCTGGCAGAGATTGTCAATAATGGTTGACAGGGTAATGACTTGAATCCTTATCTCCATAACTTTATCATCTGTAAACTGGTCAAATGGTTCCTCCAGAATTTTGGAAAGCTTCTCAACATTAGCCTCAAGCTGTTGCTGCTGATCCTCAAATAAGTGCTGTTTTATTTCCCGTTCCTCTTCTGACATTTCATCCTTAAATAGCTCATCTCCAAACATATAAAATGCAAATGGATATGAATATGATAGGACACGCCTAGATCTGAAAAGTCTGGAAAGTCCATTATTCACCCAACTAAAGTCCCTGAGTGTAGAATCCCTCTCCTCTGAAATAGCAACCTTGTCCTGTATAGTCTCTTTCAATTTACTTTCAAGTTTAAAGGAATCTGTGTGAGCTTTATAGCGATTATGATAATGCATGTATCGATATAGATCTCGCTTCGCCCGTTCAGCTGTTTTCTCTAGCTGTTTGTAGCGACCACAGCTATGACCAGCTATACTTGACCAAGTATGTTCTCGCCCAGTAGCTCCACCACAGAGCCAACTGCACCAAAAGGGGGCATTTTGTGACAACATGACTAATATTCTTATAATTCTTAATCATTGCTTCCATTCTAAATGTTTATGGATGATTGAAATTGTAAGTTCAATCGGTAAGGGAATGCTTACCAAAATGCTTGACCACAGATGCAGCTAACCAGGTTGCAACCGCCATTCTTCTCCACCGGCTTGTGGCATTTTGGACAAGGTTTCGTATGAACTGCTATCCAATTAACTGTTTCTGATTCATCTCGACACTTCTTAGCCCAGAGCTCCCACATCAAACAAGAACATGGGGAATGCGTCTCTGACAAGCAACTAAAACAGAACTGTAGACCACATGAACATTCTACCTCACATAATTCGTCATCTTCAACACGTATTGCATTCCCACAATGAGGGATGCTGGGACACCATTTGACTCTTTTATTGTCTTCAATGTAGGATTCAAGAAGAAAGCGATCAAATTTCTCTGCCATATCAGGGTTCTCTTTACTGACTAGATTTCTCACAACAGCTTCATCACAAATAGCATTACATTTGTGTGCCATGCACCTTATACGTCTACTTTGACCCTCATTTATCTTGACAATAAAGTGTGATGTCCAACCTGTAAAGTAGACATGGATATGAAAAACAACTAAAAATGAAGTTTGTGTGATTTTTCATCACTGTGCAAAAAGATAATAAACATAAAAGAAAAAAATTTCTGATAATGCCTTAGTACAGTCTTAAAAATTAAGCAAGTCCGACAGCCAAATAATTATAATTACAACATCAAAAGGCAGACACAGAATGAGATCCATATAACAGCAACAAATATTGCTTAAAAAAGACTCTTAAGGGTGCAGTACGTGAAAACACATGCAAACATGTATACTCACAGCTGTTGCAAAAACAGTGCCCACAGTCCATTCTTGTCGCTTCATGACTGGGAACATCCTCTATGCAGATTTCGCATGTGACTGAAGAAGGAACTGATGAGTCAGGATCACACTGTTCATCCACACTAACACCAGCTTCAGCAAACAAGGCAGTTTTTCCCTTGTCTACATACACTGCAAACAACCTCTCCACATCCCAACGATGATAAATAAGCAGAGTACGTGCATGGTGCTCTCTTAATGATAGCATTTCCATTACCAGGCGCAAATCTTCTTTCTGCATGAAAGTACGTTAAGAACCCTCAGTAAAACCTAACCTAAAAGTGACATTTATCTAAACAATAAATGATGTAGCAATTCAATTGTTCAGTGATTTTTCTTTTGTCTCGTTTTACCTGCGCAGCTAGAAGTGATTCCCTTGTAATCACCTGAAAACGGCATAGTATTTCAGAAAAACAATATCAGCACAGGAAAAATACCATGAAGAATCCACCTCCACGAAACAGTATTGAATGTACACTTTTACTTTATCGGTCACCCTAAAGCTAGTATGATATAAATATGTTAATCAGTCAAAAGGGGCTTCCCATCAAACTGAAAATTTTCATCGCGCCCAGATGCCACGTTCTCAACATCAAATCATGAATTCAACAAATTCGACAGTCTCCAGCATTCTCATAATGCAAGGATTAATCAAGGTATCATTTGTCCCAAAGAGGGGGGGGCTCCCGAGTAGCAATACCAGTAGATTCCAAGGGGAAAAATTAGAGCTTTAGCTATGGGACGTGTCAAAAAAAGAAAAAATTCCAGCCATAAACAATTATCAAAATAGCTCATGGAATGTACTTCAAAAAGATGACTAACAATACGCAACCAAGAAGATTTAGAGAAGCCCAAGTAATAGCAACCCGGTTCAACGAGCAAAAACATTGAGAACAACACCTATATTACCACCCAAAGCAAACCCAAACCCACCAAGAAACGTTTACGTTGCCCATCCAGAAAAGAAGAAACAAGCGATTGAACAAAAAAAGAACAACAATCAGATTCCCTGTTTCCTGCTCTATTTGAAAAAACAAAAACAAAAAAATTCGAGCAGCGCAATCGAATACCAGAGTTGTGGGGCCCTTGGGAGTAACCAACTGAATATCGGGCTCGTCGTTTTCGAAACCTTCGACGGAGCCCTGATCGGAGTAATGATAATCGTCATCGCTGCTCAAATACTCGTCCATCCCTCGCAAAACGAATTAGATAGAAAAGATTACAGGACTTGTGTACAACAGCAAAAATAATGGGTTTTGGGGTATTTATACGTTTGAATCGACCAGGAATCAATCAACTCCCGTAATCGGAGTAAATCAAGAATTGGGAAGTCGGAGGAGGGTTGCTGGCGATGAGATTGAAGAGAGCGTAAAGGGGAGAAGTAGCCTACAAAAGCAACAAAAAGAGAGTAATTTGGGTGATAGGGGAAGAAAAAATGGCAGTACTCGCTCAGCATAAAGCGTTCGTTTCTTGCATCAGAATTGACAACCATTTTGTCACCATAAAAAAAAAATTGACAACCATGGCGTTGAGGGTTTTTCCAAAAACGCCGTTGTTACCTCTTGATTAAAGGGCACATCAATTTCTAGTTAAGTGATTAAGTCTCACAAGATCAATTTAATTACATTTAGGCTTTCAATAATTTTTTTTCTAAAGTCAATTGAAAATAAAAATTGAAACAACTATAAATTCAAAAGTCTTAATTCCAAATTAGACATTTATAATATAACCCTGCGTTTGTAACTAAGATTTCCATTTATGGGTGTCTCAATATGTATCAGCAAATCATTTTCTTAGATTTATTTTTTGAGAAATTAATTATGATTAATTTGATATTTGTAATAGTAATATTTACAATTTTTTAATAAATATTTTTTCAGTAAGTTGTAAATCCAAAATCCTTGTTTTTCCTTAAACTCTACGGAGAAAAGTACTCAAGTTGTTGGAGGAAACAAGAAAAATGTTATATTTATAAACGAAGGTAAAGCAGAACATTATTAAAAATGAAAAAAAACTAATAAGAAATATGGCCAAAATTATTAAAAAGGTATTTCCCAGGCATTGACAATTTATACCGTTTTAATTTAATTTTACAGGTATCTTTATTTTTTCTCTTAAAAAAATTTAAATGAGTTGGGTGGTTAGGGTTAGGTATCTTTATCGTTATTATATAAATAACTAATTACCAGTGTGAATATGTATTTTTATTGGCATAATATGTGGATATTTGTTAACTAATCAATCATATATTGAAAAGTTAGTATGAGGACCAGGTTGATTACTAGACTTGTTTCAACCAAAAAAAAATAAAAAATAAAAATAAAAAAGCCAAATTGTTTGAAGCTTTTTAACGAGAACTAAGAAAGTCAAAACCGATGCATCCTATTTTAATCACATGCAATCCCTCATGACGCTTGAACGATGGTTTCGAGTTCTAGCCATTTAAATTAGATTTGATTAGATTTTGAGTTTTCTACAATTATTAATTAGGATTGGATTTCTTATTATTTGTTTCCTATTCAATGTACTCAATTTATTTCCTATTTTATACTGCGAGGGTTGATGTTTGAATTTCCCATTTTACATATTGAAACACCATTTCCCTGTTGGCCCAAAAAAAAAAAGGAAAGGCGAGAGGGAAAAAATCCCTTTTTCTATTCTATGCCTACTAGTTTATTTCCTAATTTATACAGTGGTTAGTTGTTTGGGTGTCGTTTACTAGTATCACTTCCTTTATTTTATTTTAATCCTAAAGATAATACTCTTCGGATCCTACAAAATAAGTCTCAAATTTAGGATCAGATTGGTACCTTAATTTATTTTATCTTTCATGTTTATAATTTTTTCCTAAATTATTTCTATTGATCTTACATATTAACAGAATTTTTATCACGAGATAATCCTAACACAAATTATAAAAAAAATGTTTTAGGAAAACATACACACATCTTTTATAGATAATTAATTTAATTTAATTATTTTTAAATTTTTATAAATTAATTGTCTAGTTTCTATATTGAGGATCAGGAAAATAGCTTGTAGTTTGCATATTTGAATTTAGTTGAAAATAATCCTCGTAATCTAATCTAAATCTGATTAAAATCTCGAATTTCATGTCTATGTAATTTGCTTTACTTTTCTCAATGTCATGGCTGATTACTTATAACAAAGTTATTATGGTGATTAAAATCGTATCCCACAAGTATAGGAGGCTTTCATCACAAGATCTTGTTACTATGAGAATTTCCCTCAACGTCATCACTAATCACTATTCACTAATTATTTATAACAACTGCATCATCATCAGAATACATGAAAATTGCTTTGTCGTAGTCATAGAATTGCGACTATACAGGCATAACTTCATTATTATGATACTTCAGAAAATTTAACATGCTCACCACAATTTTGGCTAGAGCTGTGAATAAGGGTCAGTTCGGTCCTAAAAGGCTAACCCTTGAAGGGCCAGGGCCTAAAAGGACCGGCCCTTTAAAGCCTACATACTTTAAAATTATCCAATTATTAAAGCCCGGCCCTTGGACATGCGAGCTCAGGGCTTAAAAGAGTTGGCTCTTTTATGTTATTTTTTAAATTTTAAATTCTTTTTAATTATTTTAAAATAAAAAATAAAACAACAAAACTTCTAAGATTTTTTATTCAAATTATAAATATAAGTAAAATAAATTAGTGGTGTATAGACAAAAGTAAATGCCAATAAACTATTTTCCAAAATAAAAAAATCAAAATCTAACAAAACACAAAAAACAGAAAGATAAAATCCTAGCAGTTAAAGATTAACAATATCAACATCATTATTATCTTTATCTTCATTTTCATCAGTATCATCAAGATCAGGAATATTTGATTGTTCTTTACTACAAGTGAGCTCTCCTTCAGTGATAAAAATATTAAGGTTTTTGTCCTCACTTACCTTATCTAAAATAAAACTATACAGTAGTTATAAGTACAAATAAGAGCCTGAACATTTGTTCGAATAAGAAAAGTTTTACACTTTGTTAAGATATGTAAACCGATGGTAAATGAAGATCTACTAGCTATTATGGTGATTAAAATGTTAAGAATATCAGCTACCATTCTTGAAAGAATTGAAAATTGATTTTAATTGTTCTTCCACAAATCCAAGACATCTAATTCTTTTCAATTATCTAGCTTGAGTATTGATTCTTCTAAGTATTTTTCTAATTTAAACTTATTCATAAAAGACTAATCTATGACTTCATAAATATATTCATAATAATAAAAAAATAGGCGGGCTTAAAAGGGTTAGCCCTTGGCCCTAAAAGGTTGGCTCTTTTATTTTTGAACCCTATAGGACTAGGCCTTTTAAATCCAATTTCTTTTTAAACCACCTAAAATACAAGCCCGGCCCTCCACTTAAAAGGGGTTAAAAGGGTTAGCCCGATAGGCTTGGCCCGTTTTGACGGCTCTAATTTTGGCTAAATGATTACATTTTTTTATTTAAAATAATTATATTCAAAATATTATTAGACACTAAATATAAATTTTAATTCGTTACGTATCCCGTGATTGCATTATTTTAGTTTATCAGTGTACTTTTCTTTTCACCTTAAAGGCTTGGGCCTATAGGTCCTACTCATCATTTTCAAGGCAATTATAAAAGCCCAGCGCTTCAAACAATACGAGATCAAAGGTACGCGTTGTTTTTTTGCACAAAAGTTTAATGAATTTTAGGATGCAAGAGTGTGAGAGGTTAGGATTAGAATAAGATTATTCATAGACCTTCTTAAGAACTCAAGTTTTCAAGATGAAGTAGCTTTTACTGTAAACGAGGAGGGCAAAAAACATTCAAAAGAGAAGAATGGGCTCCAGAGCATGTATAACTCAGAAAACATTGAGCTTCAAGGATATTGATCATTATCTCTGAAGAGTTAGCAAAATATTTCGTGCAAGCTATGCCAAGATATGGCAAAATAAGATAGCTGTTCACTTTCAACACACCAAAACTGTTTAAATTCTAATAAATATGGAAATTTTTTGGAAAATTTCATTCGGCAATAAGAAGCGTTATCCCACTAGGTGGGAAACATGTCATTCCTTCATTTAAAGAAATAAAACAAAATAAAACTGCAGCAGGAAGATTGAATTTGATAATATATATTCTGACCCCACAGTTCAACAGTTCAATTGATCAACATCGATTCGGAAAACGTAATCTTCACCTTCTAACTCTTCATGAAGTAGATTAAGAGGTGGCGTTTCAAACCTCTTGACAGGTATATCCTCATATAATGATCTCCGTCCCTAAAAAGAGTTTAAGCTATCATGGGTTAAACATAAAACATATATAAAGAATATTGAACACAAGCATGTAAATCGCAATCCTGACCAAACTGTTGAGCATAACCATACTCCAAACCAGAACAAGAATAAAATCAAGTTGACCGAGCTAAACCCTCAGAGTCCCATTCTAATAATTACTTCATGAGTTTTCAAATTCGTAAACCATATGTAATGCGTCATTAGAAATTAGGATATTTAAGTGATAAATAATTTAGGATTGGAAATTAAGTTATCATATGCATTCTTTACTTCTTTTTTCTTTTACTATAAGAAGAATGAAAGGTAATCTATTTACATATGTTCCTAATATGAGGATACACAAGGGAGCTCATAAAGACTAACCTTCTTCAACACGTAGACAAAATAATGAAAAGTTTCACCAAAGGTGATCCACTCAACAGACCAGCTAAAATCTGGAGCATTGAATATAGGACGCCTAAAATGTGGCTGTCAAGCACTTAAATTAGATCAGAATCACAGAGAAACACATTATTATTTAAAACAAAAAAAAAAGAATTACAGAGAAAATCGTTTAAAAAGACACAAGACATAGCAATTCAAGCTTGAAACCTGGCCAAAGGTTATCGAGATAAATATGCCATCTGGTTTCAATACCCTGTGAACACCTTTCAGCATGGCCATAACATTTGATATAGTTTCAGGCTTCGGATTCCACGGATCACCGCTGTCCACGAACAATACATCCTTCAAAAAAGATACCATGTGCATATTGACTATTGAATCAGAGACTCAATTATCAAGAAATTATATTTTTTGGTATAATAAAGAAATTATAATTAACAAGCTAGAATATCAAATCAGAATTCTCTTGAAGGCTAAAGGAAAATAATTTGACTTAGTTTTACCATAGTTCCTTTCTCAATAACTACATCAAAACATTCATCACCAAATGGCAGCTCCAGCATGTCGGCTTGCAGCACTTTTATGTCTAATCAAAGAAATGGCAATAGTAAAACACGCTCAAATTAAGTAGGATGAAC